TTTTATTTACTTTTACTTTATTTTTTATTTACTTTTTTAATTATTTTACTTTTACTTTATTTTTTATTTACTTTTTTGATTATTTTACTCTTACTTTACTTTTTTACTTACTTTTTATTCTTTTACTTTTAGTATTTAGTCTTTATGTACTTTTCATTCTTTTACGTTGAGTCTTATTGATTTATTATTTGCTTTTTATTATTTTATGTTTAATTTTATTATTTTATTTTATTGACTTTTTATTCTTTTACTTTTACTTTATTTTGTTATTTATTATTTATTTCCTGTTTAGTCTTTTATTTTTATTTTATTCTTTGGTTTTATTTACTTTTACTTTATTCTTTTACTTATTCTTTACTTTTTATTCTTTTACTTTTATTTTATTTAGTTTACTTTATTCTTTTGTTTTTATTGATTTATTGTACAATTTTATTCTTTATTCTTTTACTTTTATTCTTTTATTTTATTCTTTATTTCATTTTTTAAATTCTTTTACTTTTATTAATTTATTTTATTCTTTTACTCTTACTTTTTTATTATTATTTTATGTTTATTTTGCTTTCTGTAGCCTTTGGGGACAGCCCTTCTCGCAGTCTTTTTGTGGGAAGATTGTAGGAAGTGAATCCCAGAACTGGGCCCCCAGCTGTTGCAAGGAGAAGTGGGGGGGGGCAGGGCTTGTTTGACCCCCTACCCTCCTTCAAAGCCCAGGCATGGAGCCCTGGAGAAGCTTCGGGATGGAAGCGTAGACCTGGAGGAGGCTTTTGGATTAGGAACAGCTGGTAGGGCAGGTTTGGCTGGGCCAGGATGGCCTTGGATGCGGGAGGGAGTCTGAACTCAAGGTTTACTAAGGGTTAGGAAGGCCTGCCTGGAAGGAGGGGAGGCTGAGTTTGGTTTGGGGCTGTGGGAAGTTGCAATCCTGGGAGAAGGGTCAATTTCTGCAGCTTTAATCTCTCGGAGGGCCTGTTTTCCCTCAGTTATTTGCCAGATTAGGTTTGATGGTTTAGAGCCGGCTTTTTTTTTTTTTTTTTTTCAAACTTGGCAAGTTGAAGATGGTTTGACTTCCAACTCCCAGAATTGCCCAAGCTGCAGAAATCTGGGAGTTGAAGTCCTCCCATCTTAAAGTTGAGAAACACTGTTTTAAGGCACATTCAGCGTGGAGATTAAATTACCCCAAAGTGGGTAAAAGTGTTTATTTTACTTATCCGTTACCCAATAGGGATATTTCCACTGCTTTAAATCAAAGCTTCTGAACCTTTTTTTTAAAAAAAGGCAAGGGTCCAAGCCAAAAACTATGCTGCATCTTTTAATTTGTCAATGAAAGTGAAGTGACACCTGATTCGGACCTCTGTCCTTTTGACAAATCCTATCTGGCTTCGCCCAAATTTTGAAGGAACAGTGGGGTACACCTTGCAACCCAGTTCAACTACGCAGTCAGTATCAATATCTCTTCCTCCATTATACGCCATAGGGGGAAATGTCTCCTGGTTTTTTTTTGCTGAATTGCTTCCTTGCTTTATTTCTTTAAAAGTTATTTTTACTCAAAGAGAACAAGAACAGGGAAGGCAATGTGTTCCTTCTCTTACTAAAAAAAAAACAGGAAAAGTAATGGATAATTTAGAGCTGTGTTTGTTTTTTTTTCAACCGGTTTAAAATGGATGGACTTCAAATCCCAGAATCTCCCAGCCAGCATGCTTCAGACAAGCAAAAAATAATTGGGGATGGGGACAGATTCATTTAATAGCTGCAGTGATTCCCTTAACGACAAAGCAAAAAAAAGGTTGTAAAATGAGGCACTTCCTTAAGAATTGCCTTGCTTAGCAGCACCAATTTTGGGCTCATGTTTGGTCATATGTTGAGGACTATATGTGTGATCCCCTTGAAGTATTTTAGGTCCCCTAGTTAAAGCACACAATGCGAAATTGCCAGACAATAGGCCTCTGTTTCACACAAGTTTTTGAGTTGTTTTCTAAAGGCTTCCTAAGGTTGACACTTGTCCCCTGTTCCAGCTGCAGCTCTGCTTTTTAGAAGGTATGTGGGTGTCTCTGTGTTCTTGTGTATCTTGAATGTGCAGCTGTTCTCTGCCCACCTCTGTATGAAGAGTCTCTATATTAGGGAGATAGTAACCGTCTTGAGAGCCCAGAAGTTTAGAAAAATCTTTTTATTTGCTCTTGATAGTCAGTCAGGCCAGTACTTCTCAACTTTGGCACGTTTAAGGTACATGGACTTCAACTCCCACAATTCCCCAGCCAGTCATAATTACGAACCAATTGCCAAGCGTCTGAATTTTGATCATGTGACCCTGGGGATTCAGTGGCCGTAAGGGTAGCAAACGGGCATAGGTCACATTTTTCAGCACTGTTGTAACTTTAAACGGCCACTAAAGAACTGTTGTAAGTGGAGGACTCCTTATATCCTGTTGTACCTTCTTTCATGTCCATGTGTAAGCCTGAATTATGATGCATGGAAGGGCAAACACCTATCAGGCAGGTATAGCCTGGTGTCACTTACTATTCTCTCCGATAGGAAAAAATATATATATAAATTTTATTTATTGGGCAACCAATAAATTTTACAAAAACATCTATATTTGTGCCCCAGGGTTGAACTATCAGGTCTTTGCTGCTCCCTGAGTTGGCTGTTTCCTTGCAAACAAGTTTCACAGCTCAGTTAGGTACCCGGTTCCTGCAGCAAACAATTCTTCAACTGAGGACCTGCAGTACTAGCTCAGATAAGCAATCAAAGACTAGTTTAAACAAGGAAGCCCCAAGAACCCTCCCACCGAAACAGGCAGGGCAAACACCTTGTATAGAAACAATAGCAAAGCCCCGCACCCTTCTAGCACTGATGATGATACCTCGTTTGGTAACGAAACGCCTGCAAGAAAACAAGCTCAGAGAACACCGCGGACCCCACTCACTCCACCTTCCCGACTGGTAGACAACCTGGCACTGTGAGTTTTGTTTTGGATTGCTTTTAAACATACATTGTGGGTCCAGGCTGTGCTGTGTAGCCCACAGAATCAATCAGGACCACAATCTCGGCTAAAGGAAATCTCTCATCCCCCATGTTGAATAACAGAGTCAGAAGGGACTTTGGAGGTCTTCTAGTCCAACCCCACCCCCCCCCCCAGGCTAAAGTAGGAAACCCTATACAATTTCAGACAAATGGGTTGTCCAACCTCTTCTTAAAAACCTCCAGTGTTGGAGCACCCACAATTACTGGTGGCAAGCAGTTCCGTTGGTCCTCACTGTCAGGAAATTTCAATTCCGGGTTGCTTCTCGATTAGTTTCCATCCGTTGTTTCTTGCGCTGTCCTCTGGGGCTTCCGTTCATTGCTTCTGGTGCTTTGGAGAATAGCTTGACACCTACCCCGGCCCATTCTTTGTAGCAGCCCCATATATATTGGAAGGCTGCTATCACGTCACCCCTAGTCCTTCTGTTCATTAAACTAGACCCACCCAATTCCTGCAACCGTTCCTTGTATGTCTTAGCCTCCAGCCCACTAATCCTCTTCGTTGCTCTTCTCTGCCCTCTTTCCAGAGTCTCGACCTCTTTTTTTTATATCGTGATCAAAACCAGAAGCAGTATTGCGAGGGAGAGCAAATACCACATCTTTACTGTTGAAGCGGGTTTATGGTGTGTGTGACTTGCGGGTAGCTGCTTGCGAGCCTCGAAGGACAGGGGCCCCTGCCGCTAACCACCTCTTCCCTGTCTGGGCCTCCTCTGCTCGACTAACCCGCTTGCTTTTTCTCTGCCTGTCCGCTCCCTCCCTCCTTTTGCTTCTTGTCCGTGACAGACATCAACCTTAACTCTCCCAACAAAGGTCTCCTGTCCGACTCCATGACCGACGTGCCCGTGGACAATCCCAGTGCCGCCGCCATGGCTGCTCCATCAAGGACCTTGCCCTACAACGGTCTCACCGAAGCCGAGGAAGAAGAACTTCGGGCAGAGCTGGCCAAGGTAAAAGAAGGCCTTCCAACCGCTCTTTGGGTGCTTGCTCAATCTCGGCAACCTTGTTTGATGTGGTTGAGCCAGTTTGGTCTAGTGGTTAAGGTACCTGGCTAGAAACCAGGAAAGAGGGAGTTCTAATCCCACCTTAGACTTGAAAGCCAGCGAAATGGGCCAATCACCATGATAAGATCTACTCCCGGATTAGCCGGCTGGGTGACTTTGGGCCAATCACCAGGAGACTCTGAGTTCTAGTCCCGCCTTAGGCATGAAAGCCGGCTGGGTGACTTTGGGCCAATCACCAGGAGACTGTAAGGTTTAGTCCCGCCTTAGGCATGAATTCTGGGCCAATCATTCCCTCTCAACCCAACCCACCTCACAGGGTTGTTGTGAGGAAAACAGGAGAAAGAAAGAAAGTATTAATGTATGTTTGCCAACCTTTATTATTTGTAAAAGCAATAAAGATGGGATTTAAATATAATCATTACACTAAACATTTAGGCTTATCTTTTCTACTTTCCTGTGCCCCTAAACAATTTATTTTGTATTTAAGCACTTACACAAGCCACTTCATAATGAGATAAGATGAGAGTATTTGCACCAAGACAAATTCCTTGTGTGTCCAACCACACTTGGCCAATAAAGAATTCTATCTATCTAAGATAGACCGGTATATCTCAACCTTGCCAGCTTTTGGATATGTGGACTTCAACTCCCAGAATTCTCCAGGCAGAAGGTAAACACTGGGACATAGAGGGATCTGGAGTTCTAATACTGTAGGGCCCAGCTGTCAATCATCTTCCCTGCTTCATTTGCTTTGCAAGAGGATAGGAAACTGCTATCCTGCAAAACACCTAACATGCAGCGTCATTTTTATTTGCAAGATTTGCTTAGGTTATCTAAAGATTTCCCAAGAGCAGCATGGTGGCTTAGGAGTGAAGACGCTCGCCTCCCACTCAGAAGGTTGAGAGTTCAATTCTAGGCAGCGACAGACATTTCTTTGTCAGGGTGCAAAAAGAAAATATTTGCTGTGAACTCCATGTAGGCGTCAGGAAGGGCAGTCAGTAAACACTCAATTGTCCTGACCCCACCCTGAAGCAAGGGATTACAGGTTGTAAAAAGAAAAAAAAATAAAAGATTTCCCAAGTAGGAAATACGGAGAGGGAATTGAGGGAATTTTATTCAATAGGTATTTTGTGAGTGGCTGCGTCCTTCATCGCAGGTATACAGGTAAGGGATTTTCCCTGGTAGCCTGTTGTGAATGATCTTAGATGTTCAAAACACACCTTACAATGTTTATGGCAGTGTTCTCAACCTTGCTAACTTGAAGATAGGTGGACTTCAACTCCCAGAATTCCCCAGCCAGCATGGCCGGTTGGGGAATTCTGGGAGTTGAAGTCCACCCAATTTTTAAAATCGACACGGTTGAGAAACCCTGCCTAACACATTCGTTGCATTCATGCAATGTGCCTAACTTCCTGAATAGGTGTGCACTATGCCTCAGGTAACTAATTAACCCAAAGAGCTGAATTTGCACTTCAGGTAAACTCTCTTAAAATGACTTTAATGCTGAACAAGCCCAGGAAGTCCCACAGCTGAAAGTAGCTGATGCTTTGGTGTTCTTAATGTGCCTATAAAGTCGCCGTATTAAGGTGACACTTCTCTTGAAGAAAATATGGTATTTATTCCTTATCATCTATGCCGAACTTTGGTCAGCATAAACCAGACAGAAAACAAGACTAGATGAGCATATTCTACTATATTGTACATTGCATTCATTTAGGGACTGTTCTAGTTTAAAACAACATTAAAAAATGTGACTTATGACAGTTTTTCACACGACCCGTCCGTGATTCCCCTTGGTCATGTGATCAAAATTCGGGCACTTGGCAACTGGCAAGTATATATATGACTGTTGCCCTGTCCCGGGGTCATGTGATCACCATTTCTGACCTTCCCAGCCAAATTCTGACAAGAGTCCTTGTGGGAGCCGCATTAACTTAACTGATTGATTCACTGAACAGCTAACATGAACCCCTGCAATGACTTGCTTAACAGCCAAGGCCAAAAACGGTCACAAAATAGGGCAAAACTTAACGACTGCCTTGCTTAGCAATGGAAATCTGGGGCTCCATTGTCATAAGTCGAGGACTACCTGTACCTGTGAGTCTGAAGGTGCAGACTTCCCACTGCCCCTTTTAATAGCTTGATCCATTAGGGTTGGTCCTGTATAAGTTTCTTCCTCTGACGTTAAGTGACTGTGGGCTCCTTCCTCTCTTATTGATTCCTGAGACAGCATCTCTTCCCTTTAGAGTAGAGTAGAATTAGAATTAGAATAGAATAATAGGATAGGATAGAATTAGAATAGAATGAGAATAGAATAGAATGAGGATAGAATAGGGATAGAATAGAATTAGACTAGAATAGAATGAGAATAGAATGAGAATACAATAGAATGAGAATTAGAATAGAATAGGAATAGAATTAGAATAGAATGAGAATAGAATAGAATGAGGATAGAATAGGGATAGAATAGAATTAGAGTAGAATAGAATTAGACTAGAATAGAATGAGAATACAATAGAATGAGAATTAGAATAGAATATAGAATAGAATATAGAATAGAATATAGAATAGAATATAGAATAGAATAAGGATAGAATAGGGATAGAATAGACCTTGTAGGTCATCTAGTCCAACCCCCTGCCCAAGCAGGAGACCCTACACCATTTCTGAGAAGTGGCAGTCCAGTCTCTTCTAGAAAGCTTCCAGTGATGAAGCTCCCACAACTTCTGAAGGCACCTTGGAGTCAGGGCTAGCATCAAGGCAACCTGGGACCTCTGACGGGGGAAGAAGGAATGGAACTGTCAGAGAGAGAGAGAGAGAGAGAGAGGCAGAGCCTGGGCCATTTGTCAGCCCTCAGGTGGAGAGTCAACAGCCCCCCGGTCTGGAGGTGGCTGATGGGAGAAGAGCAGGAACAGCTGGGTCCAGTGCCTGAGGTGTGGATGCACAGAATGCAGAGGAGAGGAGAGCTGTGGAAATCTATGGGCTGGTCCTTGGGATGGAAGAGCCGCGAAGCCCCAGCCTAGCTCTGGGGATAATGTTGATGGTTCTCACTGTCAGAAAATTTCTCCTTATTTCTAGGTTTGAATCTCTCTCCCTTATTACTTTCCACCCATTATTCCTTGTCTTGCCTTTGGGTGCTTTGGAGAATGGCTTGACCCCTTCCTCCTCTCTTTGGCAGCCCCTCAAGTATTGGGAGACTGCTCTCCTGTCTCCCCTGGTCCTTCTCTTCCGTAGACCAGCCATGACTCCAGTTCCTGTAACCGTTGCATTTGTCTTCTACTTGTTCTTGCCTAACTTGGACTCTTTTTGCCCCAAATGTGCAGGTGGAAGATGAGATTGGCACCTTGCGCCAGGTGTTGGCGGCCAAGGAGAGGCACTGCGGAGAGCTGAAAAGGAAGCTGGGCTTGACTCCCTTGGATGACCTGAAGCAAAACCTCTCCAAGAGTTGGCACGATGTCCAGGTCTCTAACGCGTAGGTGTTCCCTCCTTTGTGACCTTGTATGTTGTTGCACGCAGTTGGGAGATAAAAACACTGAAGACGTAATCTTTTGCAGCTCAGCCAAAAAAATTAGAAGGCATGGGTAGTCCTCGACTTACGACTAGCTGCTTAGCAGTTGTCCAAAGTTGCAACCATCCTACTTTGAGATGACAAGAAGTTCTGGAGTTATGACTATAACTGAGCCCAAAATTGATATTGCCAAACGAAACATTTGTTAAGGTAGCTTCGCCCCATTTTACGAATGTTCCTGCCATGGTGGTTAAGTGAATCGTGGAATTTGCTATATTATTCATGTGGTTGTTAAGTGAATCAGGGTTCCCTATTGGTGTGATGACCCAGGGTGGCATACAAAATAAACACAGTCACAAAAAACAAAGCGAAGCCCCTTTTATTCCTTCACTTTGCTTCAAAGCTCCAAATATCCTTGACTGGAGACAAAAAAACTCCCCCACAAGCAGTTACAAAAAGGAAGAAACGCCATTTAAACTAAAAATGCCTATAAATTATAAAGAGTAAAAACAACACAAACCACACTGAAGCAATTAAGGGAACCAGGTAAGATAAAGGGTTTGAAAACGTCCACAGATATCGGAACACACACTGGGAAGGACGCCAAACTCAGAGAGGAATGACAGACTAGAGATATTTCCATGCTTTGTTTCCAGCACTGGCCCATACGCATGTCCGTCCTTTTAACCAGTTCTCACAGCTGCAGCCCATGAAGGGGATCAGGGCCCTTTCCTCCCCTCTAGACCACACCATTCACATTTCTCCCTTATCATCATCTCCCTGCGTGCCCTAGGATGAAGAGGGGATGGGCCTGGGTCTTCCTCTGACTGCCCAGCCGGCCTCTGCCCTTCCCCAGCCTCTTCCACAACCTCCGGAGCCACACTTGCACTCCCTGTCGGCAGTTCCTCCTCTCCCTCAGAGTCAGTCTCCACCAGCGGCATGACAATTGGCTTGTCAGAAGGTCGCAAAAGGACACGTGACCCCAGGACACGGCGACCGTCATAAATATGAACTAGTTGCCAAGTGTCCAAATTTTGATCGTTGTGACCATGGGGATGGTGCAACGGTCATAAGTGTGAAAAGGGGGTCACTTTTTTTTCAATGCTGTTGTAACTTTGACTGGTCACTAAATGAACGGTTGTAAATCAAGGACTACCTGTACTTAACAATTCAGTTACAGCAGTTGGAAACACACACACACACGCACACACCCCACAGAGGCATTCACATGACCAAACTTCAGTCACTCGGCAACCAGGCCACATTTGCGGCCGTTCGCAGCATCCCGTGGTCGCATGATCTCACGACGGTTTCACCGAACAGTGGCATTTATTTCCCATTTTAGGGAAATGACATCCATAGCAAGTTGTTGGTTCACATAACAACCTCAGCATTTACCTAACTATCACCCCAAAAAAGATTTTATTATTGAGTCGGTCATGTGTTCATTGTATGATCATGACGGGCAGGCTGTGGTTAACGGTCATAAGTTGAGGACTGCCTGTACTTTCCTTCCTTTTGCCTCATGTTGTATCTGTGAAGCCCTCTGCCCCCGCGGTCCTCGGGCAACGGACTTGCATTCTGAGGTGCCCCTGGGTAGGGCTTCCGCTGCTCATTGGGGCAGGCAGGGCCTTGCGCAGCGTGGCTCCCTCCAGGGGCCTTAGAACCACTTGTGGCATCCTGGGAGTTGTAGTCCTAGTGTGTCCCAACTGTGGAAGGCCTGTGTATCTGGGAGAGGATAGTTTCTCTCAGTCACAGGCTTCAGTGTTCTAACGGTGACAAAGTTTCAGTAGAAAACCTGGTGATTTTGAGCATTTATTTATTCATTTCTTAAACTTCATTTATTTATTAAATTTCACTTCTATATTTATTAAATTTCATTTCTTTATTGAGTTTCATTTTTTTTAATTGAATTTCATTTATTTATTTTACTTATTTATTGGATTTTATTTATTCAATTTCATATTTTGTTTAAATTTCATTTATATTCCATTTCATTTATTCAATTTCATCTATTGAATTTTTCTTTTTTCCATTTCATCTGTTCAATTTTGTTCAATTTCATCTATTGGATTTCCTTTATTAATTTTTATCTATTTAATTTCATTTTTAAAATTTCTTTTTATTAAATTTCATTTAAATTTCATTTATTTGTTTATTAAATTTCATTTATTTAATAATTTCATTTATTGAGCCATTAAATTTAATGTATTTGTTCATTAAACTTTTATGCTGTCCACCTCTCCCTCACAAAGGACTCTGGGCAGCTCTCAGTGCCATAAATAACAGAATAAGACCACGAGATGATTAAAACATCAGACATTAAAAGGGAAAAGTTAAAAGGAATATGGAAAGAGTTGAAAATGGGGTGGAGGTGAGACCTACGTATTTACCACTATTAGCCTCATTGATGCGTGCCACCCAGGGAGCAAACAAAACGGGTTCATTTTTTGTATTTTTCATTGGATCGCTAATAAATTGCGGTTTGACTCTGCACAGGTGACAACATGATGTGCAGCTTGCAGTGCTGCATGGCATTTTTTCCTCTCAGGAACATAATCCAGATCTATCTTCCCTTCCAGCCATTTTTCTCCTTTTCCTGACAATCAGGAAGATTAATTGTCTCAGAGGTGATTTTCCAAAAGGCAATTGGACTTCCTTAGGGAGAAAGAGATGAGCAGCGAAACGTCTTCAAGATTAAAAACCAAGGAGGTCCAATTGCCTTTTGGGAAAGTACTTTTGGGACAACCGTGACATGGATGACCGAGAATCTCCACAAACGTCCATCCCTGGAGTTTTTTTACGAAGAGTTTGGACATCCATCTGTCTGCAGTGGTATCAGGCTATCTCCCTGATCAGCGGGGGTTGGACTAGAAGACCTCCAAGGTCCCTTCCAACTCTGCTATTCTGTTGTTCTGTTGGAGACTTCATGGATAATACATCCACCTTGGTCTTCTTGACCACCAAGATCGACATCATCTTCATCCAAGATGGCATTTCTCAACCATAGCCATTTTAAGAAGTGTGGACTTCAACTCCCAGAATTCCCCAGCCCAACACCTCTCTATGGTTCGTTAAAGGACCCCCTTTTATTTCCGGGATCCTGGATGAGCTAAGAGAGGAGATGATGATGATGGTGATTATTATTATTATTATTATTATTATTATTATTATTATTAGGACATCATATGGCAGGCAGCTTCAAAGCAGCGCTTCTCAATCTCAGCCACTTGCTGGCTGGCTAGGGAATTCTGGGAGTTGAAGTCCACCCATCTTAGAATTGCTAAGGTTGAGAAACACCTAAGATCCCTTTCGCTTCTGTTCTTCTGATTTTTTTTTCCTCTTGGGATTGTTTTTCTCCCTCTCCCCAAGTTCCTAGTCCCCATTTTTTTCAAGTATAAGTGTGATTGACCCCCGGGTTTTTTCCCCCCCCCAGCTATATGAAAACCTCTGAGAAACTCGGAGAGTGGAATGAAAAGGTCACGCAGTCGGATTTGTGAGTTCCTTCTACCTTGCACGCACTGCCTTCTTCTTCCTGGCTCTGTCGCCTTCCTGGCCCTGCGCCCTGTTATTTGGTGGGCAGAGGCTGCTTGCACGCTTGGGATATGGCAGATTCCCGCCGGGGCCTTATCGCTTCTTAACTTTCAAGACTTATTCTTCACTGGGAAGTGCGTTTCTTGGCCGTGTTGGACGCTAAGTATCTTGTGGGCTTCCCTGAAGGCCCAGGCCCATCCCCTCTTCATCCTAGGGCACGCAGGGAGGAACGGATAAGGGAGAAACATGAGTGGCGTGGTCTATGGGGAGGAAAGGGCCCTGATCCCCTTCATGGGCTGCAGCTGGGAGGACTGTTTAAAAGGACAAAGTGCGTATGGCAAAGTGGCTGGAAGCAAAGCGTGCATTCTTGTCGGAGCTAATTTGGGTTTTTGGCTTCCTCCCAACTCTGGTTGCTGCGTTATCTGGTGGAAGTCTGCAATTTATCATCCTGGCCTACTGTATTAATTATTTCAGTGTGGCTTGTGTTGGTTTTTTTATTTTAATTATTTTTACTTTGGGTTGGACTACATTTACTCCCTCCGTAGACTGTTTTTTTTTTTAAAGAGTTTGAAATCCAGCCGAGAATAATTGGACATTGGGGGCCAAGTTGGAGGCCTTAAAGGGAATTTATTCTATTTTTGTGACTTTGTTATTTTTGTGTCACACCCCGGGTCATCACAACCACGTTACTAATCAGCTGTAGTGATTCGCTTAACAACCGAGGCAGGAAAGGTCGTAAAATGGGGCCAATTTCACTTCTCAAATGTTTCACTTGACAATATAAATTTGGGGCTCAATTGGTTGTAAGTCGAGGACTACCCCTGTGTTTTTAAAAAAATAATGTCTCCTTTAAGACTTAAATATTTGGCTTAAATCTTTGACACTATTCCATGGTGAAATTCTTCTAAGCTGGTTATATTCAGTCTGGCTGCCTTCCAGTCTCTTTTCCCAGAATCCTTAGCTACACCTAGAGAGAGCTCCAGGTAGGTGAAGGTGGGTTTAAGCTTGCTTTTAAAGGTGTTTTTTTTTTTAATTGAAGTAGACCAGGGGTCTTCAAACTCGATGGCTTCAAGACTTGTGGACTTCAACTCCCAGAATTCCTCCTCTTGTCATGTTTGCTCAGGAATTCTGGGAGTTGAAGTCCACAAGTCTTAAACTTGCCAAGTTTGAAGACCCTTGCCCTATTCTATCTATCTATCTATCTATCTATCTATCTATCTATCTATCTATCT